TGTGTGTGTGTAAGTATGTGAATCGCTTATAACTTTTGAACAGTTGAATCGATTTCATCGCGGTTGGTGCCATTCGAAAGGGCTTGCCCAAACTTAGATTTCCTGAAAATTTGAACCGATTCGGACCAGTAGATTTTGAGAAATTTCAAAAAAACTACAAAAAATTTTTTGAAAAGTGTTTTTTTTGGAATAACTTTTAAACGGCTCTATCGATCAACTTCAAAAACTAATCCGCCCTTAAGCTTGAAAAACCACGCCGATCGTCGCTAATCCGGTCAAAATCGGTTGATTCGTTCGAGAGATATCGTGAACGAAAGAAAACCGAAAAAAGTGTTTTTTTGACATAACTTCGTCATTTCTTCTCGGATCGTTTTTGATGATATAGAATAATTTCAGAACTGAAAAAACCGCGTTGATCGCCGCCAAAAACGTGGAAATCCGTTGATTGGTTCGAGAGATATCCTCGATAAAATATTTGGAAACAAGTGTTTTTTTAACATAACTCCGACATTTTTTGGAATAACTTTGAAACGGCTGCACTGATCGATTTCAAAAACTAATCAGCTATTAGCATGATAAAATTACGTCGATCGCCGTCAAGCCGGTCAAAATTGATCAATTCGTTCAAGAAATATCATCAACGAAAGAAAACCAAAAAAAGTGTTTTTTTGGAATTACTCCAAATTTCCTAGTTTTATCAATTCAAACTTAAAGATTCTTCATGAAACTAGAAAAATTGCGTCAAATACTCCCAACCTCGTGAAAATCGGTTGATTCATTCAAAAGTTAGTGCGATTTGAGAATTAAAAAAATATTGTTCTATGACACTTTTATCAGAGTTTTGAGCTCGAAGAGCTCAAAATAACTCATAAATTGTATTTTTGAGCTCGAAGAGTTCAAAAATATCATAAGTGCAGTTTTATGCACCTAGGCATGGAATTAGCGGGAAGTTGCACGGATGGCCTTCAGGCTGTACTGTTTTTCTAATTTTTTTAATAAAGTATGAAATTCATCAAGAATATAAAAAATTATATGAAATTATTGCAAATTATGTGAAGTTAAAATTATATGTAACTGCAATTTATATATTTTTACAGAAAAACGCTGAAGAAATGAGTGACATTATTAAAAAATTCGAGTCCGAGGCTATGGAAATAGAGCAGAAATATGAGCAAAAATTGACAAGTCAATACGAATCGTTGAATTTGAAACACCGAATGGAAATTACAGAGATTGAAGAAAGAAAAAATATGCAGATCGCTAACTTGATAAAAAATCACGAAAAAGCTTTTCTTGATATGAAAAACTATTATAATGACATTACAATCAACAATTTGTCGCTTATACAAAGTCTCAAGGTAAATTTCACCTAAATTATTTTATTAAGTCAGATGAAATGATTCACTTAATTAACATTTCAAAGGAACAAATGGAAGTGATGAAAAGCAGTGAAGATAGAACGAAGAAACAAGCCCGAGAGTCGATAACCGAAAACAAGAAGCTGACAACTGATTTGAAGTCGTCGACGGAACAAGTTGCTGAATTGACCCGGCAATTGACCAATTATGAAAAGGACAAGCTTTGTCTTTCGGTAATTATTTCTTCTTGAGAATGTGACTTATTAAATAGAAGAAATTAATTAATTAATTGGAAATTTTTTAGAATACAAAGAAGAAATTGGCGGCCGTTTCAAAAGACTACGACAATTTAAAATGGGAGAACGAAGTTCTCGAAATGAGGTTCGAAAAGTGCCAAAAAGAACGAGACGAACTTCACTCGAGATTCGTGTCCTCTATTTTGGAACTGCAGCAAAAAACTGGACTGAAGAACGTTTTGCTTGAGAAGAAATTGGACAAGCTTTCTGAGGTGTTGGAACAAAGAGAGGCGCAGATTGGAGAAGTTTTAGCGGCTGCGCAGTTGGATCCTGCTACTACGGGGCAAATTAGTCAGAAATTTGAGGTTAAAAAATTGTTTATTAAATTTATGCTATAAAATGTAACATAGTAAAATGAGTTAAGGTAAAGGCACTAATTAGTGACAGGGATCCAATTATTCCGGTAACATGTGCTTGAGCAAGATTTAGGTGCCAGTGTCTTGAGCAAAATCCCTAGTTGCTAGTGTCTTTTTTTACATATGGGTCTTGCTCAAGTTCATGTAGAAAGAACTACAGATCTGGTCAGATCTAATTATATCTGGTCAGATCTATTTATATCTGATCAGACATGGGAATGGAGACATAATCAGATCTAGTTATATCTGATCAGATCTAAACAGATATAACTATATCTGAGTTGATAAATACATTAGACATGATCAGATATAGTCATATCTGATCAGATCTAAACAGATATAACTATATCCGAGTGGAAAAATACATCAGACATAATCAGATATAATCATATCTGATCAAATCTAAACAGATATAACTATATCTGAGTGGAAAAATACATCAGACATAATCAGATATAATCATATCTGATCAAATCTAAACAGATATAACTATATCTGAGTGGAAAAATACATCAGACATAATCAGATATAATCATATCTGATCAAATCTAAACAGATATAACTATATCTGAGTGGAAAAATACATCAGACATAATCAGATATAATCATATCTGATCAAATCTAAACAGATATAACTATATCTGAGTGGAAAAATACATCAGACATAATCAGATATAATCATATCTGATCAAATCTAAACAGATATAACTATATCTGAGTGGAAAAATACATCAGACATAATCAGATATAATCATATCTGATCAAATCTAAACAGATATAACTATATCTGAGTGGAAAAATACATCAGACATAATCAGATATAATCATATCTGATCAAATCTAAACAGATATAACTATATCTGAGTGGAAAAATACATCAGACATAATCAGATATAATCATATCTGATCAAATCTAAACAGATATAACTATATCTGAGTGGAAAAATACATCAGACATAATCAGATATAATCATATCTGATCAAATCTAAACAGATATAACTATATCTGAGTGGAAAAATACATCAGACATATTTTTTTTTTTTTTTTTATGAAAATAATTCTATATAATTGTATATAATTATATATGGCCATTTTTCGTATATAATTATGTATGAGTATATATAATTATATATAATCATTTTTAACCTGGGCAATTTTAAAATTTGACCAGATCTGGTCAGATCTGATTATATCTGGCCAGATCTCGTCAGATAGAGACAATTTAAAGACCTGGCCAGATCTGTTTATATATGGCCAGATCTAATCCGTTTTTCCCGGGTCAAGCCTTGAAAAAGATTGTTATATGGGATAGAATTCATAAATTTGTCCTATAGATCCTTGTAAATTTTTTAGTCTTCAAGTATAGAAAAATCTAATGGAAATTTTATTTCTTCAGGATATTTTGAACCGGAAGAATACAGCCATACAAGATTTACAATACGACCTAGCCAAAGCTTGCAAAGCGCACGACGATCTTCTTATGAACTACGAAAACAAACTTCAAGAGTACGGAATTGCGGATTCGCCTTTAGGACAACCTCTAAGGTCGATAAGGAAGAAAAGGAACAATCGAACGGATAAAATTCTTTCAAACTTATGTTAATTTATTTTTTTTTTTGTTTATATATTTTTATTTGTATGACAAATGAGTTACAGTTTATTGAAAAGGCAACATAATTAAATTTTTAAAAAATAATATACAGACCAAACTTTCTCTTCATTTTTTTTTTCCGTTCATAATTTAGTTTTTATCACAGAGATACAATAGACAGTATTTAATAAATTTCTTTTTTTTAGTACCTGAAATTTTTGTGGTTTATTCAAAGTCTTACTTTCCATTTATTTTATACAATAAAATTTTTAAAAAATAAAAATTATTTTATTTAAAAAACAAATTGAAAAAAAATTCATGTAAATTTGGCTTGTTTTGATTATCTTAAAAAGTTGAAAAAAAAAAAAATAACACTGAATTTATGTTTAAATATGACATTAATCTAAACTACATAATATTAATTTAAATATATATATTTTTTATAAATATGATCAGGTCACAAGGCTTCCATTTTTGTTAATTATCTTTGAACATCAAAACAATTGTGAAGTCTACATAATATATATATAATATTATATTTTTTATATTTATATATGAAGATATATTAATAAATAGATATATTTATTTATTTTTTTTCACAATGCAACTTTCCATTGATTCCAATTAAAGCAACAACTTTTACTGGCAAATTAGATAAATAATTAATTTTCTGTGAAATTTTTTGTTATTTTTTCTATTAACAATCTTGTATACCTTTTATTAGTCCTAGGGGAGGAGCAAATCCCCACTAAGTCAATTTTGAGCCAAATAGGCGTGGCTTATCCCCACCACAAGGCTGCTTTGAGCCAAGTGGGCGGAGCTTACCCCCACTCTGCAATTATTTTGAGTAAAGTAGGCAACATTTTGACTCAAAAAATTAATCTTTTTAATAAATTACACCAATTTGAGTCATAAGGGCGGAGCAACTCCCCACTAACTCAATTTGGAGCAAAAAAGGCGTGGTTAACCCTCCTATGAGGCTATTTTGAGCCAAATGGGCGGAGCTTATCCCCACTTTGCAGTTTTTTTTTACTAAAAAAGTCAAACTTCTTCATTAATGACACTAATTTGAGTCATAAGGGCGGAGCAATTCCCTACCAAGTCAATTTTGAGTCGGATAGGCATGGTTAATCCCCACTACAAGGCTGTTTTTAGCCAAGTGGGTGGAGCTTATCCCCACTCCGTAGTTATTTTGAGTAAAATAGGCCAATTTTATAGCTTTGTACTGTTGATTTGAAACAATATAGCCAACTTGATATTCTCAATCATCAATTTTTAGATCGTAACAAAATTATTTGACAAAAAATTGAATTTTTCTCATTAGTGACACTAATTTAAGTCATAAGGGCAGAGCAAATTCCCACCAACTTAATTTTTAACCAAATAGGCGGCTTTTATCCCCGCTACGAGGGTGCTTTGAATCAAATGGGCGGAGCTTATCCCCTCTCTATAGTTAATCTTGCATTGATGACACTAATTTGAGTCATAGGGGCGGAACAAATCCCTACCAGGCTCTCCTTTGAGCCAAATGGGCGGAGTTTATCCCCACTTTCACCCTCTTCACTCAAAAAGACGCCTTCTAACTGTTTTTGACACTAATTTGAGTTAAAACAGCCGAATATACTTCTTCTTCATCAATTTCAATAGTTCAACAAGACTATTTAAATTGAATAGGTAAACTTTAATTTTGTTTTTTAAAAAAATTTGAGTCAAGGGGCGGAGCAAATCTTTATTCTTCCTAATTTTGAGCCAATTGGGAGGAGCTTATCTCTATTTAAATCAAATTCGAATCAAACCGACGTAATATATTCTTTTTTGACTAATTTGCATTACTAATCAGTAAATTTGGAACAAATTTACTACATTTTTACAAGATTGTTAATAAAAAAAGTAACTTTGATAAAACTTCAATAAATATTTTTGATTCTAGATATACAAGATAAATATTGAAAATTTATATTTTTTTGGCACAATAAGAAAGAGAATCACAGATTAAATCATTGTACACGAGTATATATAATATTCCGATTGTTATATTTCATAACAAGAAAAGTCCACTTTTAAATTTCAAACTTCCCGCGGAAAAAGTGCGCGCGCATGGGCGCCATTTCGTCAACCGACGTCCATTTTGTCGAGCAATCCGAAAAAAGAGAACTTTGGCGATTTCCTTTGAAATAATGGGACTTTTTTCGAAAAAAAAAAATATTTTCATCAATAAAACGTTTCAGTGGACCTTCCTGGTTAATAATAGAAGTTTTTTGTCAGGTAATTAATGAATTAATCGATAAAATAACTGAAACTAACTCATCACCTGCCAATTTGGCAAAACCTCAGCAATCATAGTAGAAAAATAGGCGGTGACATTATAAACAATGGTCTCACCGGCAGACAGAAGAGCCGCGAATGATCCGTAAGTACCGTAGTCGATAATACTGTGATTACACGATGATAAAACCGCTAAATCTTTACCGGGGGCGCGAGCGTCGCGGTCAGAAATAAATGCAATTCTGTATTTCTGATTGTTGAGGTGGTTTTTGCACCATGAAATACTGTCACTGGCGACGACAAACACGACGTTCTTGTACTTGTTGGCAAAGTAGTTCATCGCTGAGAGGTAGTACCGCGCAGGAGCGGGTTTAACCTTCAATTTCTGCCATAAATAGTCTACGTAGTCGGTTCTGCGAACATGGATTCCCACGTAAGTTGGTTCCCGGATGTTGAAGCGCACTGACAGGTTTCTCAGCAACATTGAAGCGTACTGTTTGAGAAATGGCTTGAATGTAAACTCACGGCGGACGTCGTCAGGCCAAATTAGGATCAGGCTCCAGTAGGCTGCGTGTCTGAAATATTTTCAATAGATTGGATTTCTTACACAATTCTTGAGCTATAATCTTGCCCAAAGTTCTTGGACAAGGCTTGTTCAAGACTTGTCAATTGAATTTGCTACAAGTATCTGAAGCGAGACCCATAGGTAGAAAAAGACACTACACGGAAAAAAGAAAACTAGAATAATTACAGTTTAAAATCTAAAATCAAGCTCTTCGTTATCAAAATAGAAAAAATGAAAGCTCAAACTGTAATTTTTGGATTCTATATAGTAACAAAATTGTTGTCATGCAAGAAGCAAATTTTACAGTTTGGAAATGTAAATCTAACATCATAAAAGGTAAAAATGTTATTGCTTTTTATCCAGGAAATTTTATCTCTTTAAAAGTCATTAATTTCTATTTAAAACTGTAAAAATGATCATTTTTCAGCAATGTACAAATTAAAGTGCCAAATAATATAGTTTATTTACTGGTTCACTAAAATTTACAGTGTGAGATACGAATTATGAACGTTAGTATAGAAAAAGTAACTATTGCATCTCACGCTGTAATTTTTAGATTTTCTATATTAAGTACAGTCAATACTCTAGCAGCCAGGAACTTACTGCTTAAAATCCAAAAATTAACGTTTGGCTCAACAATGTTTGAATAGCGGTAGAGAATTCTATCCCCTCTCCCGTATAAATTGGACTTAGTTTTTTTCAGTCACTATTGTCGACGCATACTATTTACGCTTGTAGCTTATAACTACACTCTACTACACAGAATGCTATGTCGTTCGAATAGCGTCGGAATAAAACGTCGGTCTTTCATGCGTAGACGCTGGGATCGAATCCTGGCTAGGGTAATTTGCGATTAATATTATTATAAGTTTATTTATATAAGGAACGCGAGTATGTGTGTGATATGATCAACTAATTTCCTAATACTAATCCCCTCTCCCCTTCCTCAAATTAAAAACTTCGAAAATAAATATGATAAGAAATATGTCCCATGAATATATGAATAACCAATACCAAAAATTAAATTTCATTCAAAAAAAAATTTTTTTTTTGTTTCACATATAGACTTTAGAATTACCGTTTTTCATCTTTGCCACACTAAAATTCAATATATGACAGATTGTTACTTATTGTAATATTAGGATATAAATATTTAGGTAGTGAGTATTATTAATGGGAGAAAAAAAATATTTTTATTGATATTTTTTTTTTATTTCCGTGTAAAAAATCGGATTCAAACTTGTTAAATGAAAATCTAAATTTGAACGCTTATCGAGTATTATTTCAATGACTTGTACAAAAACTTACAGTGTGAGATAGTAACTTTTATACATGGTGAAACTCTAATATTTCTTACTCAAAATGTAAAACTTACTGCGTAGCGCCAAGCTGTAACTTTTAGATTTTCGTTAACGAAGCGCTGGGTTACTATTTGAAAATCTGAAAAATGCTCAACGAATAGTCAATTATTCCTGTTTTCTTTTTTCCGTGTAACAACTATCAAAATTGAGACCAGGTTTGCTCAAGCTTTGAAAAAGATTGCTACATCGAATCTTTGCGGCATTTCCAAAAGATTGGATCCTATCCTACAAATTGGACCTAGTCCTAAAAATTAAATAAAATTCAACACTACTCACCTGGGAATAATAATAGTCTGCTGGGTACTATTCCACTGCCCCAAAGAATTGACAACCTGACCAGCATCCAGCGTACATCTTCCAATATAGCTCAACGGCGGGATGCTCAAATTATCAAAATGTTCCTGAAGAGTCTTCAGAATACACCTGGGCATAAAGGGATCCAGCCCAGTTCGTCTAGCAGTGGCCCAAACGGAAGCATACTCCCAAATCTGGTTCCCCAATCTTCCACCCTGGGCTGCTGATACGATTCCGTACCTGGGACAGGAATTCCTGGACCAGCCATCATCTTCCTCATAACCGTTCTCGCTCCGGTGCCGCTGCATCTTAAAACTGGTCTTCTTAAAGCTGGTGCGACACAAAGCTTGCTCATATGCCAGGACCTTGGTCAATCTTAGCTGCGGAGTTGGCGTGTACATCGGGAACAGGAAGACATGGATTCCGCAGACCACCAACAAGGCCAGGACTATCGCGCTAGCTAGCACGTGTTGCTGTGCGTGGCTCATTTTTATTATTAGTTTCTTTGGTTCAATTTGTATCTAGGTTCTAGTCTTGGGGTTCTCTTCTAGATCATTTAATTTAATTATTTTCTTAATCGGGCATTCTTGAACTTCCGTGCCCCGTTCTTGCTCTTTTAATCATCTAGAAGTTCAAAAAATTAGCTATAACTATTTTAAATAATTTTAAATCTGTAAAATTATTTTTTGTAATACTTAATAACGATTTAGAAAATTTAATTAATTTTTTTTAGTAAAAAAATAACAATTTTTCTAATAAAAACATCCCATATCTACAATTTAGCGAGTTTTACCGCGCATGCGCTGGAACAGGTCTCGCGCATGCGCAAGACCTGTTCCAGCGCATGCGCATTACAACTTTCCATAATAAATTATTATTAATAATAAGCTACCTTTTTATAAAAATAATATTTGTCAAACTTTTAAAGACTAAAAAATTTTTTCTTTAAATGTTAGCAAACTGCGCAATAACAAAAAGCACTAGTACTAATAATAATAATGATATTTTATAATTACCTTGTGCACTAAAGTTAAATTTCGATTGTTCATACTACCTCCATTTTGTTCTAAAAATTAAAAATTTTATTATAAAACCCAAAAAAATATAAAGGGTAAAATAAAGTGAGAAAAATTGAAGCTTATTACTAGTCACTAATATTGTTTCACAATAATTGAAGGATTAGAACAATAATTAATTACTAAGCGTACATGAAAAAAAAATGGCACAAACAATTGTTATATTTACCAAATAGTTAAAACAAATAGAACTTGTTGTGGAATGACGTCATATTGTGACGGGTGATCACTGACTGGCTGATGCACGTTCACGTTGTATGGATTTTTTAGCGGAAAATATACAACTGTAGATTGGTGAATGTGTGTTGTATACATGTGTATAAAGAGTAATAATAATAACAAGAATAAGAATAATAATAAGGATAACAAACAAGTGACGCACAATTCAATGAACTGTTCGCGCGTGTCTAGATGATACTTATCGTTTTTTGTTTACATTGCTAAAAATTCTCGGGAGAGGGAAGCTTATCGATCCGGTGTATCTGAGGCTAGCGCGCGCAATTTGAAATATGTCAGAATAAACAAATAATTTATGAGAAAGATGATCAGATCTGGATAAATGTAATTAGACGATCTAGTAAATATGTTGAAATAGTTTTTTTTTAAAGAAATTTGCCCAGATCTGATCTGATATAGTCGATCTTATAAAATTTTATATATATCCGGTCTTATTAGATCTGATTTTATTAGATCAGATCTTATATATCCGATCTTATTAGATCAGATTCTATATATCCGATCTTATAGATCCAATCTTATTAAATCAGATCTTATAGATCAGATTTTATCAGATCAGATCTGACACAGTTGATATCATAATATCAGATCTAATACCATCGATCCTATCATATTTGACCTGATTAATCAGACTTAGTAAGATCTGATATGGTGCATTCGATTATAACAGATCTTACATGTCCAATCTTATCAAATCTTATACGCCTAATCTAATCAGATCTGATTTTATATAGTCGATTTCGTCAGATCTTATATTTCCGATCTTTTCAAATCAGATCTGACATAGTTGATCTCATAATATCAGATTTTATCAGATCTAATCTGATACGGTATATTCGATCTCAACCGATCTTAAACTTCCGATCTTATCTAATTTTTCAACATATGATATTGTCAAATCTCATCTTATGAATCAGATTTTTCAGATCAGATCTTGTCAGATCTGATTTTATACATCAGATCTTTTCAGATCTGATCTTACATATTAGATCTGATCTGATTTTATATACTCAGATTTGATCTGGTTTTATATATTAGATCTGATCTCATCTTATATATCAGATCTGAGTTTATACATCAGATCTGATCTGATTTTATATATTAGATTTGATCTGATCTTATATATCAGATCTTGTCAGATCTGAGTTTATGTATCAGATATTGTCAGATCTGATCTGATATAGTCAATCTTTTCAGACCCGATATATTCCATCTTATCAGATCAGTTTTAAAAAAGTTGTTCTTATCAGATCTGATCTTAAGTAATTGATTTCGTCAGATCTGATATATATATTATATATATATATATATATATATATATATATATATATATATATATATATATATATTATCTTATCAGATTTACCAGTTATCCCAAATCTAATCAAACATAATTTTTTTCTCTTGATAAATAATTACTCCTTAAAAATAATATTTACATAAATTTATTATAACAAACATACAATTTTCTTAAAATATCTACTCTCTATCTGGAAACAATTCATCGTAAGTAAAGTGTTTAGTAATTTGATTAGAAACTTCAAGAATCTTTGCCGATATAACTTTTTCAATATGCGGAGTTATAGTATCTATTATTTCTTGCCGATTTCCGTTTAACACAGCATTTATCGCTTCAGATAAAGCAGCAGTCGTATTATTTGGCACAAATTTCGCCGTATAATCACCAATTTTGAGTTTGCTCTTCGCACTGCTGAAAAATAACTGCTGGCCTTTTTTTGTGTTCACTAATTTAAACTGTACTGTTGAGTTTGATTCAATATTCACTGAAATAAATCAAAATTATATTTATAAATCTTCAGATATTTTAATGAACAATTAAAATTACTTACTTCCGACGCTTTCAATCGGCCCAGAAGCTTCAATAGGAACGAGAATTTTCACTTTAACGTCATAGTCATTTTCGAACCTCATCTTCTTGAAGAAGAGATTGATATCAACTCTCTGATTTTTCAAATCAGCATTGAATTTTTTTACTTCAAACTCCAGCGAGTCGTAAACTCTGATGTTCGAAGCTGCAACTTTAAAGTCTGCAGTGTCGGAAATAGTGACGCGTTCTTTTATAAGAAGAGGATCTACTGGTGGAACGTCAAGCTCGGGAATTCCTTCGCGTAATTTCGGTCGCAATTGGACGACACTTTTGATGATGCAATCGTTTAAGTTCGGGTCTCGTCGGCCGCATATTGGGATGTATGATGCTGAAATTATTAATAAATACACTGTTAAAATTTTTTGTAAAATTACAATCATAATACAAAACAAATAATAAGTAAAATTACAAATCAGTGTATACACGGAAAAAAGAAAACAGGAATAATAGACTATTCGTTGAGCATTTTTTAGATTTTCAAATAGTAACCCAGCGCTTCGTTAACGAAAATCTAAAAGTTACAGCTTGGCGCTACGCAGTAAGTTTTACATTTTGAGTAAGAAATATTAGAGTTTCACCATGTATAAAAGTTACTATCTCACACTGTAAGTTTTTGTACAAGTCATTGAAATAATACTCGATAAGCGTTCAAATTTAGATTTTCATTTAACAAGTTTGAATCCGATTTTTTACACGGAAATAAAAAAAAAATATCAATGTATAAAATATTTTTTTTCTCCCATTAATAATATTCACTACCTCAATATTTATATCCTAATATTACAATAAGTAACAATCTGTGATATATTGAATTTTAGTCTGGCAAAGATGGAAAACGGCAATTCTAAAGTCTATATATGTGAAACAAAAAAAAAATTTTTTTTGAATGAAATTTAATTTTTGGTATTGGTTATTCATATATTCATGGGACATATTTCTTATCATATTTATTTTCGAAGTTTTTAATTTGAGGAAGGGGAAAGGGGATTAGTATTAGGAAATTAGTTGATCATATCACACACATACTCGCGTTCCTTATATAAATAAACTTATAATAATATTAATCGCAAATTACCCTAGCCAGGATTCGATCCCAGCGTCTACGCATGAAAGACCGACGTTTTATTCCGACGCTATTCGAACGACATAGCATTCTGTGTAGTAGAGTGTAGTTGTAAGCTACAAGCGTAATTAGTATGCGTCGACAATAGTGACTGAAAAAAACTAAGTCCAATTTATACGGGAGAGGGGATAGAATTCTCTACCGCTATTCAAACATTGTTGAGCCAAACGTTAATTTTTGGATTTTAAGCAGTAAGTTCCTGGCTGCTAGAGTATTGACTGTACTTAATATAGAAAATCTAAAAATTACAGCGTGAGATACAATAGTTACTTTTTTTATACTAACGTTCATAATTCGTATCTCACATCACTGTAAATTTAAGTGAACCAGTAAATAAACTATATTATTTGGCATTTTAATTTGTACATTGCTGAAAAATGATCATTTTTACAGTTTTAAATAGAAATTAATGACTTTTTGTAATATTACTATACCCGTCTGTTATTTAAAATAAATGTTTTGTCTATTAGCTTCCAATGAATTTCTTGTAAAATTACAATAGAAATTTTTAACAGTGTATTAATGACAACTTACGAACTTCAGCAGATGCAAATAATACGAAACTCAACACAAAACACAATAAAAGTGATCTTATCATGATACTTGTTGCAAAACAACGTTCTGATAGATTGTTGGAAAAACAACTGGAGGAACTTGATCGACAAACATTAATTTATATCCTTGCAATAGTCCTACAATTGATGCTGAATCATAGAATAATTAATTCAAAGTTGCAACCTATCCAGATTCTCGTATCTTCTCGCCATGAATAATTAATCTTGAGTACGCGGAAAAACATCGCCGTTTTTTCAGTCATTGGAATGATAGCCATTCATTATTTACAAGTTTTCTTATGCAGTGCTACTAGGTCTTACATTCGTTAACCGGTCTGCGTGTGCTCTAAGTGGCATTGAATAAATTAATACTGACCTTCGTTGCGTAAAAGTCAGTGCAAAGATTCTAGGTTTATCGATAGTGAACATATAATGGGCTTAAATGATGAATCGAATCAACAGAAAAGAGACATTTAAAAACGGTAATTTGAATGTTTGTTTCAGTAGTATTCATTTTGAATTTTCAGTTTCATTTCGTTGAAGAGCAAAAAGAAGAAAATGGTTGTTACAGCAAACAAATAGTCCATGACAAGTCTGCTTGACCACCAGGGATACTGGATGCGAATGCAATTGACAGGCAATTGTTATCTGGACACAAGCTCGAATTTCATTGATCCTCTACTAATTTGTTTTTTTCAACAGTGCATAAACAAAAAAAAAACAAAAACAAAGAAAAAACATACGGATTCTGTAAAAGAGAACGGATTAAATGAAAATAGCTGTACCAAAAGAACGTAGAGTGGATTTTTTATGACGCAACGAAATAAATGATTATACTTTGAACTGCTTTTTGGTGTATTGAATGATTTTTTGAACAATTTTAAACTGCAGTAATTGATTTGACACTTTTAGAAGATTGAATTATACATGTATAAAATTTACAATTTTGTTATTATAAAATTAAATAATGCTGTGAAGCGGGGAAGAATAAGGCAAAGTACACAGTAGTTGAACAGGATTCAAAGTAAAACTTATTTGACCCTACTTTTAATATATAAAGATGTAATTATTACAAATTAGTGATTATCATGAAAATATAAATAATTTCGATTAGCAAAATAACAAAGATAGAATATTTATATTTTGACAACGTTTTTAAGATAGACTATCAAAAGAGTAGTAGTTGAACAATCAATTCTGACAAGCCTTAGTAGTTGAACACTCCGGGAGCAGTAGTTTAACTAATAAAATATATGCCCGGGGAAAACGGTTTAGATCTGACCAGATATAATTATATCTGGTCAGATTCTAATTATATCTGGTCAGATCTATTTATATCTGAGCAGACATGGGATTGGAGACATAATCAGATCTAGTTATATCTGATCAGATCTAAACAGATATAACTATATCTGAGTTGAAAAATTCATCAGACATGATCAGATCTAGTCATATCTGATCAGATCTAAACAGATATAACTATATCTGGGTTGAAAAAAAAATCAGACATAAAAAGATTTTATTATATCTGGTCAGATATAACTATATTTGATAACTATTAATAAATACTAATAACAGGTAATGAATTAGTCTCTCAAGCGTCAGGTCCCAGGTTCGGTTCCCGTGCGCGCCGATTTTTTTTTTTTTTTTTTTTTTATGAAAATAATTCTATATAATTATATATGGCCATTTTTCGTATATAATTATGTATGAGTATATATAATTATATATAATCATTTTTACCTGGGCAATTTTAAAATTGACCAGATCTGGTCAGATCTGATTATATCTGGCCAGATCTCGTCAGATAAAGACAATTTAAAGATCTGGCCAGATCTGCCTTAGCAGATCTGACCAGATCTGTTTATATATGGCCAGATCCAATCCGTTTTTCCCGGGTGCCAATAGGCACACCAAAAATTTTCAACGTTTTATTGAAATATCTAAAGAATTATAACATATTATTGATTAATATTAAAAATAATACTATCAATATTTAATATGTTCATTTAAAAATGATAAATATTTGTATTTAATTTTTTAATTACATTTTTTATGAATGACAAAGCAAATTTTCAACTATAAATAAAAAAAACTCTATTCAAAACGTTCAATAATTTTTAACTGCACTAATTTTTAGCTATAAAACTTATTTAATTTGCAGTAATTAATACAATTTACAATGCAGATCACTAGTTTATAAACCTATTAGAGATTAGAGTGCTGTTAAAATTATACGGCCCCAGCTTGTTCAGGTTATGGGTACCGCTTTTGAATTTTCGAGGTATAGTTAGACGCTAAAATTTAATATAAAAATTATAGTTTATGTCTTTGCAAAAAATATGTATTATTTAGAAAAGACTATTTCATTTGGTGGTACAGTTTTTTTTACTTAAAATAATATACCTTTTTTTTACTGATTGTTTGGTTTACGGTTTAGTACCTTTTTCATGAAAAAAATAATCTATCGGCTATTCTCGACTTTTAAGTTGACAAAAATATAATTGTTTTTATTTATAATTGAAAAAACTTACAGAAATCAATTACTGTATCATTGAATAATTATAACATGCGCATATTACTCATAATAAATATACAGATTTTGTATTACAATATTTCGAAAAGTCCGTTCAAGTACTGGGTACTTTACCTTACCATAACTGGAATCGAAAAAAAAAAAAAATAGAATGAAAAAGAGTAGCTTAAATTACAGTCTGCATCGGAGAGTCGGAATCCATTTCTGAAACAAAAATTCCAAAATTAGAAGTTAAAAATAAAAAAAAAATTATATTGTTTTTAAATATAGTGAATTTGATTAAATTTAGTACGGGCTTACATTGTTAAAAAAATATTTTCTGAAAATTTTAATTAATATGGGCCGATAAAAATTTAAAAAATTGTTAAAATAAAATTTTCAAACACATTTTTTTTTTTTTAAGTACAAAAGCTAGTCAAAGTATCACTTTAAAAATTTCATTGCCTTACCAGTAAAAACGGCGGCAGCTAAATAGTAGGTGACAGCCACAACAACTAAGCACAGAAATTTCATGGTGAAATTTTTTTATTCGGCTAAAAAATTTAAAAAAATTAAATGATCACGAAAGTAAATTTTAGATTTACTTAATTTTTATTAATACTGTTGAAAATAAAATATAAGGTTACCTTTGTAAAAAATAATGTAATACTTGACGTCAGTACGTAGAGTAAAAGAGTAATATCTTGATATCTCAGTCAGCTCTTTTATACTCGTCCATATAATTGGGAGAACATAAAATTTATTGCAGTAAGTTTGGTAAATTTTTTTTGTATTTAGTCAATGTTCTTGTTATTTAATTTCAAAATGTTGAATGTTGAATTAAGTATTATTTTTATTTTTATTTGATATCAGAGTAAAGTCTACAGTTAACGTTTTTACAATTGCGCAAGCATGTTTTTGCACAAATTCCTTTGGAAAATATTGCAAATTTTTATGTCGAATAAAGTAACAAAATTTGAACATATTTATTGTTTAACGAATATTTGTAAGCAAATGTTAAAATTGAAAATTTATTATTTAACCAAAATAATTGCATATCGTAAAAATTGATATGGTCTTAAAAAAATTAAAATATAACAATTTATAGTTGAAATTTTTATATTGATAATTTTAAAAAGTAAAATTTATAATAGGATA